GGCTAATACTAGCAGAGACTCCACGGCTTGTCCATAGCGTTCATTAGAGCTCGTCAACTCAAGTGAAGAATTTGATCGCAGATAATTTCACCATGCTTTCGGACAATGGATAATCATGGGGTGCTTGACCGAGCATTTTGGCCAATCTTAATAAATCTGTTGGGAGCAAGCAGGAGAAAGCAGGGGCAGTGGGGGAGGGAATCAGCCCCGGTTGCCTACCTGCAACCCTCTAATAGTTTTCCAAACTTGCTACAAATCTTTTATGCTTGGTTTGCCAGGAAATAGAAGGTCTCTGCCAACCCTTGTTCCCCCAAGAAGCAGACGCGAGAAGTATTGCTTGTCTTTGTATAAGCTGCTATTTTTTCATTAAGCTGAAGAGAGGGTGAAGATATTGTTTTTTCATGAGACCCTGTTTAGTTTTCAAAGGCGGTTTCAGTTTGGAAGCTGGTTTGTGCTTGGTGAGGTCACATCGCGGACAGTATTCATCCCGTCTGTAATCAAGATGCTGCAGATTTGGGGATGTTTGATTTCTGATGTTTCGGGGAGAAGTTATGATCATGAATTTGAACTGCAGTCAATTATGATTAAGACTGAAATCAATATTATTGCACCAAACTCTTGTTTTTACCATACCAGTTGAAAGGAGAAGGTTCTTTAAATTATTCTGCAGCATAAAATTTAATTCTGTTCTTGGCGATAAGACGAAGGACAAGGACTAATCATTAGCCAATCATCTGTTTTCCTGATGGGGATAATTCATCTTAATAGTTTGAAGAGATTCACAACATTATCGGTATTATGACTATCTTTAAACATCGACACGCTCACCCATTTATGCCAAATGATATTTGAAATATGGTTTATATGGTTTTGTGTATCAGAATAATGCTAGTAATATCAATGAATTAGGTATTCTCTAATTTCTTGTGTGTACTGGGGTGGTGGGGTAGCCTAAGTGTTAACGGGTTCGCTCATCACCCTGAAGACCAGGGTTGGATTCCCCACATGGGTACGATGTGTGAAGCCCATTTCTGGTGTCCCCTACCATGATATTGGAATATTGCTAAATGCGGCGTAAAACTGAACTCACTCACTCACTGTTGTGTATAGTATATATTGGTTTGGTGCTGGCTCTTTGTTGAAGTTAACACATGTCATCTGTTCCCAATTGCACAGATTGATGCTCATGCTGTTGATCACTGGATTGTCTGGTCCAGACTTGATTATTTACAGACCGCCGCCATATAGCTGGAATATTGCTGAGTGCGGCATAAAACTAAACTCACTCACTCACTCACTCTTTGTTCAAGTGATCTGCCAATTGTATAGTTATATGTATGTTTTCATCTTCCAATAGCAGGGTCAAAGGTATGTTAGAGTGGTGTAGTTTAATATGCTTTCAAAAGAGTTTTGGTTAATCTTTTCTATCAAACACCAAGTTTCATCAGCTAATTTGGTATTCAAACCCATGGTTATCGGAACAGGCACAAAACTGAGGGACTAGAAAACTGGGCCTCGGCACTGTTTAGAATCATTTTTAATTGTTTTCATCATTGCCTGTACAATTTACAACCTACAGTCCCAGGATTTATCTTACTAATAAGTGTATACATGTACTAAAGATAAGGGCTAGTTGGGTAGTTTACTGGTTAGGTGTTTGCTTGCCATTCTGAAGGTCTATGTTTCAGTCTCTACATTAATACAATATGTGAAGCCTGTTTCAGGTGTCCCAGTGATCTAAATGTTGGTTTACTTACTTACTCACTCACAGTCCAGAAATGATTTTTATGCGTAAATTTGTGATATATTTACTTGATAATTATAATGCTTAGGGCATTTTATATTCATCCAAGTGAACTATTTTTGTTTTATTTTTCTAAATTTCCTTCATTAGTAATTTTCACACCTCAAATTACTTCATGATTGTTGCCTGCAGGGAACTGTTTTATTTTGGAGAAAAAAATAAATACATTTCTATTTCATCCATGAAATATGTTTTTGTTGTGCGTCTTATCAAGATATGCAAGCAGTAGGGAACCCCAGACCTTGACCTTGTGAGTGTTAGTTGAACGGAAATCCCACTAAATGTTTACGTTGCTTTGGGAAATTAAAAGTTATCATTTAATTATTAAGCATAAACAAATCTATGTTCAGTTTCTCTTTGCACAGCTGGAACTGAAAAATCCTGGTCCTCCAAAGGGGTTAAACATGGCCAATAAATTATTGCGTGTGTATTATGTAATTCAACATAAACAGATAACGCTTAGTCAGGTGTTCAATTATTTTGACTTGAGTAAATATCATAATTATGATTGATTGATATTTACATTACATGGTGATGATAAAATTAAATTTTGATTCTGTAAACTGACAATGTCACTTCATTAAACTAAAGTGTTAATGTCAATAAGAAATGTTTCTTTCAAGAAGTCTTGGTTCTATTCTAATAAAATGTTAAAGATTCATGTTGTGTATTGCAATGATAGGCAGAGGGTAGCTTAGTGGTTCATTTGTTCAAGAAGACAAGGGTTTGAATCCCTCAACCTTGTCACGTCGAAGTCCCGGTTTGGATTCCCCTGGGTACAATGTGTGAAACCCATTTCTGGTGTCCCTCGCTGTGATATTGCTGGAATATTGCTAAAAGCAGCATAAAACCATACTCACTCATTCACTCAATTTGTTATTTCCAGCAGACCCACTGCTTCCATGTGTACTCCTAATAACCAGAAGAAAGAACCAGAAAAATTTCCTCTTTGCAATCTTCCCCATCCACTGTTACAAAGAAATTCTTGGTTGCCTCAGTTAAGTTAGTTGATTTATCGGCACCAAAGTGTTGAACATCCAAAACCTGCATCACTATGTATGTATCTCCTATATTCTTAATATAAGTGAAATATTGTTTAAAGTGGCATCACTCACTCACTCACACACTCACTCACTAACTCATGCACTAACTCACTCACACACTCACTCATGCACCAACTCACTCCTCACTCACTCAGTGATAAATCAATTCTCTATCAGTGAATAGCCTGATCGTTGCTATCATGTATTAATTGCAAATTCTGCGATCAACTAACCGTCACAAGTTCTCGTGAGAAGCACAAGACAACACTGAAATGTACAGTTTGCTGAGAGTAAACACAACACAGATTTATAGTGAGAGAAAACACCTTGTGTGTGATTGAACCGATTTTCTCACATTAAATCTTGTCTAATGAGAAACGTCTCGGGAACAAAAAGGGCACTGTATCAGTTATGTGACAGTTACGAGCTTGGGAGGATGACGAATCGCTTAATCCTCACTGAGTTATTTCCCTTGATCTTCGTGATGGCTAGTTTGCGTTCAGTTGGTTTAGGTTTTAAACAGAATGAATTTCAAACATTCAGAAATATTTGGATATTGGGGACTATGAAGAAAAATGAATTTAAGTTGGTTATGTAAATTAACCTCAGGGGTCGTTGTTTTCCAAAGATGTAAAAGTTTTTCATCCATGTTTATTCATGTATCTTATATTTTTCTAATTGATTATCTCCTTGAACATCTTTTAGAAACAATTATAGCTTTGAGATAAGTGCCTGATGGATTATTTATTTTCAATGTTTTTCAGTGTAATGGAAGTTTGGTATTTGGTGTTTTATTCATTAAATATATTGAGCTATTCTCATTTATAAGGGATACTGTGAGATCAATTTAGCAAGAGATGTTTGGAGGACATTCACAAGTAGTGTAGAAATGTGCAACATCGCTCTCATCAGTAGCAGCAGTTGTGTCTGTGAAGAGCCAGGTTCAGCTTCCCAGGAAGATCTCAGAATTGGTCTTCAAGAGTGGGTTTGCTTCTTAAGGGGCTACTAAGTGAAGATCCGGGTTAGAATTGATCTTCAGCAACCCATGCTTGCAGTAAGAGGTGACTAACGGGATCGGGTGGTCAGACTCGCTGACTTGGTTGACACATGTCATTGCATCCCATTTGTTTAGATCAATGCTCATGTTGTTGATCACTGGATTGTCTGGCCCTGACCCGATTATTTACAGACCGCTGCATATATCTGAAATATTGATGAGTGCGGCATTAGACAACAATCAATTCCAAACTGACAGAATGAGGTGGTGAGCCTCACAGTCATTGTAGCTTGTGTTTATTGATGCTCATATCGTAAGTCACTGGATTGTCTGGTCCAGACTCGACTATTTACTGACCACCTTCTTGTAACTGGAATAATGTAATTTAAATAACAACGAAACAAATAAGACCACCAAATTTAGATGGTAGAACATCCTGATATTTGTACATACGTTTTCTCCTCTATACAATGAATGAGTTGGTTCACGTTATCAATTGCCCTGAAAACAGTTCCCACAATTATATTACAAAACCTTTCAAAGCCTCCGGAGTTAAAGAAATTAAATTACTACCTAAAACAGAGACTTGATTGTAAGCTGGTTACAGCTACACGAGTGTGACTGGCCATTATCACACACGAAACCACAGACTGAGAACAAACTGTTACATGCCCTCTATCATATGATCTCACCAACAAATTCATATTATCTTATTTCATGTTGAATAAAAACACCCTTTCTGAAATCAAAATCGGAAAATCTTAATGGCTTTTGTATTTTTTCATCCAAACAATAAATAATTTAGGCTGGAAAAACAAAGGCCCATTTATATTTCTCAACATGATAATTATTCAAAACTGCCTGCAACTACAACTTTTTAGGATTTCACAAATTGGACAGCTGTTATTGGAATTTCAAAACAGATATTTTTCATTATGGTAACAGCAGTGTATCTGGTACTGCGGAGGAACCACCAAGTCATCAGCATGTAGGGTGTCCGTAAATACCGTGCAGCTAGCCAGAGGTCAACACATGAGCTGAATTCCTGCAAGCCTCCCTTGAAAACTTTATTGGTCTTATACAGCTTACAGCATTAAGTTATATGAGAATATCTTGAAATTTAACAACTAACATTCAGGTGTTTATATTGTTTCAGTTGATCGTGACTTTGCAGACCCTATTGAATCAGAAGAGACAAACGTTCTGATGGCGGGTTAGTTTGATTTACATATGTTATTTTATCTTATGTCGTTGATTGCTGTTTGTAGATTTTTCAGTTTTGATTTAATGTGCTGGTGCTGGCTATTTTGTTTCAGTGGTGTTTGTTATCATTTTTCCAGATTGTATATAGCTTGATAGTTTTTCAATCTCTAACTAAGAATGGGACTGTGAAGACGTTGCAGAGCATAATTTAGACTAACATCTTGTGTCTAAAATGAACATATTTTACAGAAAAAATAGTTCCTATGGTATAATCATCAAATTTATTGCAAAGAAGCCCAGAAACTTCCTGAAACTTGATAATCTAGACTTGCCACATATTCTAGACTAGGCTTGCACAAGTCTATTAGGTAATAATTGATTGTTCAAATGATAATTTCTGAAAAATACAAACATCCCTCCAACAAACTGGCATCCTCAGAACTGTCGCTTATCTAGACTTGCCTCTTTAAGGATAGAATTACTATCCATCCATGGACTCAGCCTTCAGTTCAGCCTTGGAGCAAGGCTAATTCTAGGCTTGTATGGGCTTTCTTTGGATATATTTGTTTCAGGGTCTGTACGACAGACTAAGGGTAATTACTTAAACTAAGAATAGACAATAACCATATAGAGTTGTGTCCCTTGTTTGTGTTTTACGTTTCCTTCATCCTTCATGTGTCAGTTGCCATGTCAGTTTAATGACTGCTTAAGTTGAAAGTGACACAGGAAAAAAATGTGTTCCACTTTGTCATATCTATATTGCCCATTCATGAAAGTTGGAAACATTATTTTTCTGTCTCACTTTGAACTTAAACACTCATTAGCTGACATTCCAGCTGTAAACCAAGCTGACTATTCCTCCTCACACTACATCTCAACTTTCTACAACATTAAAGAGCATGATTTTAGTATGAGTTTGAAACACAGTTCCTAATGAAGAAATCTTGTTTTGGGTTTCTTTGTTAAACGCTGCACTCAACAATATTCACGCTTTTAACAGCAGTCTGTAAATAATCAAGTCTATATCAGATGATCAAATGTTTCATGTCATGAGCATTGATCTGTGCAGTTGGTACAGTTACATTCGTGAACCAAGTCAGCGAACCTGACAACCCATACCCTTAGTCACCTGTTAAGACAACATGGGCTGCTGAAGAGGAGAGACATTCTTGGGTTGATTCCTTTAGTTGAATTCACAGATTCAGGTGATTTCAATGATATCGGCCATGTAATGGTTGGTCTATACTTTCTCCATACTTTCTACAAAATTCAGGTGATTTCAGTGATGTGGGTCATGTAATCGTTGGTCTGTTTCTCCACAATTTTGCAAAATGAGATTGTTTGTTTTTATCATTTCTTAGCAATATTTAAGCAAACTTTAAATAGTCAAGTCTATATCAGACATATAGTTGCATCCGGTTTACTCTGCAGGTGAATTTCTGGCTCAGAACTAACTGCAAAATCGTGATCCAAATGTCTTAGTTTCATGTTAGTTATACATTTGCTTTACTTATATAAATTTTATTTGTGATTGATGACTGTTTCACATTTTAAGACATGGTGCTTTCATGCAAAAATATTAAATATTCATTTTTATGGGTTTTTTAAAAATCTGCTGATGTTGCATACCCTGTGTGCAATTGTTTTTTCCTTGGCATGTATAATGCTAATGTTTCATCTGTTTTAAGCTATGTGATTACCTTGAGTCCTTGTACAAGAAAAGTGAATTACACCCAGCCTGACAGATGATGCAGCACATGAACACTTTAGCATGTAGGGACAGTGTCAAAAGCAGGTGGTCACTTTTCAGACCAATCCAGAGCAGAACTGCACAGGGCTTGGCATTTTTGTCTTGGCAAAATTTAAAAATCAAGAAAACAGTCGTAATAAAAATCTCAAACATATTTTATGGCTATGTTTAATTTTATACAGTTTAAGTTTATTTATTAGAAAACTTTTGACACTGCCCTCTTACCCAGCACTGTGTACAGTGTAAGGAGTTTAGTGTGAACTTTGCGAAGGATTAGATACACTTATCTGCAGGTGTTGTTAAGCTCATGACATCACTAGAGGAATGAAACAATGGAACAGTGTTGTCAAAGGGTTATAAAGAATCAAAGATATGGTTGACTTTGTATAGATGAGTGTTCAGTGCATTTCGTGCTCTCAAAAGGGTTAAGTAGGTCTGTATGTGTTCTTCTGTCATGCTAACAGTGGATGTGAAAGTTATTGTGTAAGATAAGGACATTGTTTGCTATTTCAGTAATTTCGCAACTTCTAGGATTGTATTGTAGGTCATTGTGACCCATTCCTGGCTCGTGCTAGGGATTCTAGAGTAGGAGAAATGTCTTGTTGTAGTTTTCAGTTTTTAGACATACTTAATTAAGGCTTGAGTTGGATGCAGCATTGTTAGTTAGAGGGTGGGAGGTCACATTTGAACTTCTGTTTGGGTTGAATTGTGTTCCAATTGCAACTTTCAATTTTGTTGTTGCATAACACCACACTCAACAATATACCAGCTATATGATGGCGGTCAGTAGATAATCAAATCTGAACCAGAGAATCCAGTGATCGACAGCATGAGCACCTATATAAGCAATTGGGATACGATGACATGTGTGAACCAAGTCAGCGAGTCTGACCACCCGATCCCGTTAGTCTCCTCTTACGACATGGGTTACTGAAGACCAGTTCTATCTAACCCATTACTTCATGGGTAACAACTTTCAATGAGGAGAGGGTGATCCACTTTAAAGTTTAATTATTGAACCCCAAACCTAGTGGCTGGAGCCTAGTTTGATTCCCATCATTGGTACAATGAGTGAAGCTTGAGGCACACCTAGGTGATTGATTCAAATATGGGTTGGCCCAGATGTGGCCTGGAGACTTGTCAGCACAATCGTTCCTCCCAATCAAGCTGACAGAGGGTGGGGTGGCCTAGTGGGTACCCTACATGGGTACAATGTGAGAAACCCATTTCTGGTGTCCCTTGGCTTGATATAGCTGGAATATTGCTAAAAGCGGTGTAAAACCCAACTCACTCACTCACTCAAGCTGACATGCCATGATATAACTGGAATACTGTGGGTTAAACTCACTCAGTCTCTCACTGTGACTTATGTGCCTCCATGATACAGCTGAAATACTGCCTACTACTTTAGACGATATCACTAACTTTAATAAGTGTCAATAAATGTCTTGTTATTCAGTCCTTGAAGAATTTGAAATTTCACATTTGAAACTTAAAAGTTCTTATTCAACTTTAACCTTCCAAACTATATATCATAATCCGAGTTTAAACATGAAAAATTGTGATAATCATGTGTTTGCTCCAAGGGTAATTAATACCCAGAAAAACACATGATATAATGTCATGATCCAAGAATACACGTTATACCCTCAGCGCCAGTGATGGTGAGATACCATGTGGATGTCAGGATGTACAATGGGCACAATTGTTTTTATTCCACACAAGCCATGATTTATGTATCTTGTAATTACAAGTTCCCTTTGGCTAAAGATTAAGATGACTCAGTTACCATGGCGATGGAAAAAAAGACTCAGAAACATAATTGGAGCTCTCCACATAACATATGATATGTAATTTGTGGAACAGGAAAACAGGAACAAATATCTTATGGGCAAGATTTGTAATTTATGAGTTTTTTCGAGATTTTTCTTGTGTATGACTTGTCATATTCCCGGAAAGCAGTTTTTGTAATTTGATAGCAGGAAATTGGCAAAATTGGCAAAATTATTATCTTTGATATCTTCCTGAAAAAATTATGCTCCAAGGTTGCTGCTGGTAATTCTTCTACCAGAAAAACATGCAGCTCTTCTGAACATGGTGTAATAAGAGGACTTATCATATTTCATTTCTTATTTGAATCCTCTTGTTAAAAGTCCCCATAAGTATCATATTCTCTCAAGAAAGATTTGGAGACAGAGATATTATGTGGTTGCTGAACAGATTCAATTTGTTCTAAGGTACTGGGCGATTCCGTATATGGTCTCGGGATTATAAGCTGAAAACGTTGAAGACAGGTTTGCAAGTTCACATCATGAATTTCAATAACTGTAAAGTATAATAACTTACTTGAAAATTGTGAACTGTGATATGATTCAGTGGGTGAATGAATTGTGAGTTGGTATGTGAGTGAGTTGGTGCATGAGTGAGTGTGTGAGTGAGTTGGTGCATGAGTTAGTGAGTGGGTGTGTGAGTGAGTGTGTCAGTCAGTTGGTGTATGAGTTAGTGAGTGAGTGTGAGTTGGTTAGTGAGTTGGTTCATGAGTTAGTGAGTTGGTGTGAGTTAGTGTGTGTGTCAGTTGATGCATGAGTTAGCGAGTGTGTGAGTGAGTTGGTGCATGAGTTAGTGAGTGATTTGGTGTGTGAGACAGCGAGTGAGTTGGTGTGTGAGACAGTGAGTGGGTACAGTTTAAAATTGTTTGGAAATGTATTTGATATCATGCCAGGCCAGCATGTAGTTTGGGGATTCTTTGAATCAATGCTCCAAACATGAAGAATGGAGGTGACAAAGCTACAACTTCAAATGAACTGAAGATGATTTTGTCAAGTTTTACTAGATGCCTCTATGGAGAAGGGATCCAAACTGCAACCATTTTATCTGAACTGTGAACATATTCATTTACCTTGTTGTATGTATATTCACACCCTCGTTTGGTTCATTTCATAGTGACGATGGATGAAAGAATTCAGAATTACTTATTGATTAAAGCAACAAGCAGACGACTAAGACTGGAGGAGTTCTGTCCCTTTGACTGTTGTACAAGTGCAAGTGTGAGGCTTTCTCTTGTTATTCTTGCATTGTTATCCCATTAACTGAATGTCTTACTGGAATGGTGTGATAGCCTAGTGGTTAAGCCTTTCACTGTACATGCTGAAGGGCTGGGTTCGATTCCTTAATTGAGCACAGTGTGTGAAGTACATAACTGACATTGCTGTGATTTTGTTTAATGCTCACTATCCTACTCACTCACTCTCAGGATATCT